ATGTTCAGCTTTCTACATTATTACTCACACCATGAAATAGCCTTTGACAAATATTGAATACTTCTAAACACTGGAAAACTGTTTGATTCTAGGACGGAGCTCTTCAGTGGTACACACACTAATGAACGCACCAGGGATCAGACCAAAACTTTTTATGTCTTTTAGTGAACACTTAGACTAGACTATTACGTTCGTAACCATTACCCTAAAACTTCAACCGACTCATTACATTGAATAATGATTATCCGATGGAACTGATAAAACTTGTCTCACCTCTAACATAGTCTAAGAACCCGATAGACATGACAGTGATCACCACCCAGTGATCAATCAATTGAAAATACAACTCAATCCTACAGGAGGTCAGTCGCGCCTTGGATAGCCCAGTAAGAAGATCTCTGATTGTGAAGCTGGGTGACATGGGATCGAATCCGTCAAGGATCATCCGTTCCCTCAAGATGACAGGTGCACCTTACTGACGAGTGCCAAATAGCAAGAAACTTGGGTTTAGGGTTTCCTGTTGACTACCTCCGACCATCATATCATCTCAACATAGTACATATCAACATTGCAACTTGGTCGATAGGATTCGATCTATAATAAGAAGAACTTGACATAAATGACATAGATCACCTACCCAATGATAAAATAATTGTGAATGATCTAGTTCTATCAGTCATTATTTCTCACATGAATTTCAGTATATAGACAAATAAGTTGTTATTTCAAGTTTTCCACAGTCATCATTAAGTTTTCCTTTCAATCTGACCAGTGGATTTCTTTTTATCAGTATAGGGATTGTGCAGAGTATTATATTTTTGATTGAAATCATGAACCTATTGTTGTTAGACCACCACTGAAAACCTAGAAGCACTGGATGGTCGTTTCGTCCTATCGCTGGACTCCTCATCAGTGCGCATCCATGACCCCGCTCGCGGGATTCGAACCCATGGCTCTCAGTATCGCGCGCGAACGTTCAGTTTACTGGACCACTGAGCTGACATCCAATGGTGTTAATGTCTGACCTCAATCAATCCACGAAATTGAGCAACCATCTTCCATTGTACTGAGGTAGATACCTCTCTTTATGCCTGTCTTTTTAGAATAAAATTCCACTATAAAATTGAGAATAGTTAATATAAATCAACAGTAGACATTCTTCACTAATTATTCTTTCTAATCTAATTTGTAAACATCATTCACATGAATCAATATGGTTATGTAATCACAAGTGTAATACTCAGTGATAGTTTTCAACTAAGATCATATGATTTATATAAACAAATCTATGAATGAATTGGCATAGAAACAAATGAAATTTGGATGATATATGGAATGTGAATGATTTTATGTGTGTTCCGATTTTTGTTAAAGCTTCATTTTAAACCATGATACTTTTCAATATTAAATTTCTTTTTTCTTCTGTTGATCGATTGGATCATGAAGAAGTCAACATCTTCGGGGGGGGGTGCAAGGGATTTAATGGACAGATAAGATGCAGCTGGACTAATAGAATGCAGCAAGACGTTCTAGACTGTGAAGATGATTTGGCTCTTCTATGGCACACGCAGCAACAAAAGCAGGGGAAGACGTTCAGTGTAGGAGCAGCCTCAGCAACAATAGGTCTCAACATACACAAAGGGAAAAGCAAGATTCTCCAACATAACACAACATGCATCAATCAAATCACACTTGACGGAGAAGATTTGGAAGATGTAAAAACATTTACATATCTAAGCAGCATCATTGATGAATACGGTAGATCTGATGCAGATGTGAAGGCGTGTATCGTCAAAGCAAGAGCAGCATATTTACAGGTGAAGAACATCTGGAATTCAAAACAACTGTCTGTCAACCAACAGTAAAGTCAGAATTTTCAACACAAATGAAAAGACAGTTATACTGTATGGGGTGAAAACGTGAAGAACTACGAAAGCCATGATCCAGAAGATACAAGTATTGATTGAAAGTTGTCTACACAATCTACTTCAGATCCGTTGACCAGACACTATCAGTAACAAACTACTGTGAGCGAGAACAAACGAGTTTCTAGCGGAGTAAGAAATCAGGAAGAAGCTGTGGAAGTGGATAGAACACATATTGAGGAAGGCACATAACTGCTTTGCAAGGCAAGCCCTCACTTGGAATTCTCAAGGCCAAAGGAGAAGAGGAAGATCAAAGAACACATTAGGCCGAGAAATGGAAACAGACATGAGAAGAATGAATAACAATTGGAGAGAAGTAGAAAGGAAGGCCCATAAAAGAGTGAATAGGAGAATGCTGGTTGGTGGTCTATGCTCTGACAACCATGGCAACCATTTAATTAGATAAATGGAATGCTCGTACAATGTGAGAGATCGTTATAGTCTTCCAAATAACTTCAGAAATGTGAAGATGAAACTTTCAGGTGCTCGAAATAAGTGAATTATTATTGAATATGTTTTATTATCTAATGATTCATATGGATCAATATTATTTTATACATTTCTGGTTAACATTTTTTAGCGAGTTAATTTTCTACGGGAAGGGGTGGCTAACCCCATGCTCAACCCTTCTCCTTTACCCGGGCTTGAGATCGGCAGTAACTATGGAAGATTTACTGGTGGAGTTATTTTATACATGACTAATTATAATCACATATCATTATGCATTCAATATTGATGATCAAATTATTTATCGATTTTATTCTTTTTAATTTAGATCTTATCGATGATGGTAACATAAATGATGTTTCATAGATAAACTTACATCATTAAATAATTAAGGAATTACTTAATTAACATTGTCTAGATCTTAAAAATATTTGACTTTATCCGTAATATTCATGATGACGACTGGTTTGATTAGTGTTTATCTACTGTTATGATGATCAATAAGTTTATATGAAAATCTGAATTAAATTGTAGTCTTGATAAGTAAAGATGGATGATAATACCAAGCGAATTTCAATTTCAACCTATTGGATAGAGAGGTGACTATCTGGACTCAGTAACTAAGTGGATGAGTTCGAGTCCCAGAGTGAACATCAACATGTCTGGGATGTAGGTATATCCAACTGATGTATCACAAATGGGACGAAACGCGCGTCAAACTAGGTTCCATTGTTAGCCACTATCCATCTTTGTTTAGAATGCTTGTGAATTAACACAATATTGAGGCGATCCGCACAGGATGTATATATGCCAGTAAGACACTGATCAATTGCAGTTCAAAACATCGATGGGAAGATTCAAGTAAACAATACCATGTGAATTTCAACTTCACCCAATCGCACAGGCAGGTGGCTATCAGGACTCAGTAGCTAAGTGGACCGACCATGCAACGAAGTTTGAAGTGAACATTAACTCTGAGATGAAGGTATATAAAGTTGACCAGTACCAAATAAAGAGAAACATGCGTTCTGGATACTTGTGAATTAAGGCAATATCGAGGCAATACACACAGTATGCACATATGCCGATAAGAGACTGATCAGTTGTAATCTTAAACAACAATGGGAAGATATAAGCAAATAATACTTAGTGAACTGAAGCTGTAGTCTGTTTCTGATAATAAGTTGAAGTAAATGGTAAGAAACAATGATTTAGTGAAGTGTTCTCTTTTCGGTAAATTCATTTTCAAAGCTGTACAATCACAAACATGTATACTTATTTTACTTAATGATGAAAATAATCACAATAATACTGATAATAAACTTCAGGTCGGCATGGTGACAGGCTAACTAATAATTTTTTGATTGTTAATGCCTTAAATATTCATCATGTAAATAGATAAAGAAACCATCATTGGGAAAGGATGGCTCAACAAGACAAGTTATGAACTACATGTGGAGCAATTTGAACACTTAACTTCTACCTGAAGTTTGTGCTGATGGTGTCGTTCAGCAAAACGATGAAAACTTCACGACCAAACTATCCAGTTCGGAGAACAAAACTTAATCAAACTCATCCATCTTATCTACAAATCTTCTCCAACATCTCGATATGATAAAACCATACTTGTCACTATTTATCTCTGGAACTAACAAATATCAGTCAGTGATGTAAACTATAACATTTCAGTTGTAATGACTATCTTACAGAAAACATTACTAGTTTTTTTTTATGAGGTAATAATGAATAAATCACCTTTATCATAAGTTTGCTCTATGGCTTGCTTGGATCATTGGACCTATAATGATGACTATCCAGTGCTTCCAGGTATTCCATTGTGGTCTAGCTTCAATTAACTCATGATCTCAACTAATAAAATTACTATGATATCCACAAAATACCCCTTTTAATAATTCAGTAGTCTGAAGGTTAAAGCTTGTCCCATGAAACAGAAGATCCTAGGTTTGATTCTTGCATGCGAGATTGTGGATGCACATTGTTGAGGAATTTCATACTAGGACGAAATGAACACCTAGTACTTCCAGGTATTCCATGGTAAATTCAACCATTAAAATACTACAATCTTCACAAAACCCACCTTTTATGGATCATATTTCATGAATTTCTATTATTATGTTTGACTCCATTTAAAACAAACAAACAAACAACCAAACAACAGACTAACCATTTCATTTTACATTTTAGTTATGCAAAATATTCAATGTTTAAATCAACCACATTTTGTTTCCAGGAGCCAACAAAAAAACACACACACAACAAAAATAAGAGAAGATAGAAACAACCTTGTTGCAACTAGATTTGCATGTGAATTATTATTATTATTATGATTATGATTATGATTACTATTCCACTGTCTAGTTTTGCCTGACTATTCATGATTTTACTCCATCATTAAACACTGATTGGTTATAGAAAATTGTTTCATATGACCTTGAACAAAAAGCGGGAATATCTATTCGATTTCAAGGTTATCGAGAAAAAAACACAAAAAAAGAAAAAAAACAAACAAAATAAACACACACCAATCCTGTTTTCATATTCTTTTCAGCTTATTGGATTATAGATTTATATAAATATATATATATATATATCTGCATAGTAACAAACGTTCATTTATTTATCATACTATAATCATGAATTAATCTTAACAACAATCTTGTTTCATCCGTAAAATGTTTATGTCATAGTAAAACAAACAAACAAACAAACAAACAAACTGAAATACTGTTGGGCTCAAATGTTTTTCATTGATTTATTCAACATATTTCATTTTTATTCCTCAAATTATATGGAATATAATCGATTAATTAGATAGAATATTTCCCATCACAGCAACAACAACAACAACAACAAATTGTATCTATGCTATTCGTGATATGAAACATTGATGATTGAACATGGAAACTATAGATTACGTCATACCATGATTGTTTTTTTCTTTGAAATTGATCGGAGAAATGTTTTTTTTCTTTTTCTTTTTCTTTTAAATCTATACTTGCCTTTATGTTATGATAGTTTCAATCAAGTAAAGTAATAATAATAATAATCTATAATACTATTGATAAACATATGCCTAAACGGAATAAACAATCAATAACTGATCCGGATCATTGTAAAGCTAGTTGTTGCTATACATGTAAATTAAAATCAACACAGAAAAGATCAAATTATAAACGTGAAATACATGAAGTAAGTAAATGATATATTGATTATTATTGTTTTTGAAAAGAATATATATTAACATCGTTGAATGCCGGCCAATTCAGTGGTCTAATAGTTAAGTGCTCGCGCGTGAAACCGGTAGGTCCTGGGTTCGAATCTCGCAGGGGGGTGAGGTCGTGAATGCACACTGCTGAAGAGTCTCATACTAGGACGAAACGGCCGTCTGGTGCTTTCAGGTTTTCCATGGTGGTCTAGCTTCAATTGAATCATGATTTCAATCTGTGAAATTTCTAAAATCTCCACATGGAAGAGAATAGGCTACACAACACCATACTCTTTTCGAACTATTTTGACATTTATATTAAAGATTTTGACTTGCATATTGATTAACAGACGATTGTTTTTAATTGTCTATGTTCTTCAACTGTATAAATGTGGTCCTTGCATTACAAATTCTTGTCTTTACGTCTGCATCAGATCCTTTTCGTTCATCGATGATGCTTCCCAGGTACATGAAAGATTCCACATCTTCCAGAGCTTCTCCGTTAATTTTGATTAAGGTGGTTAAACTACATATGTACTAGACTATTTCAAGTTTCATATTGTGAATATTAATCATTTTGAATGAACAGTGTAAGGATTTAGAATGTATATTTCATTCTATTGATGACTGGATCTAATATACCTTCATGTGAACTGTATCATTATCCATTCAAAACACTAAAGATGCCTGGTTGATTCCAAATCATGTGACTGATTGACATCCCAAATCTGTATTTCAACTTTTATATTGTTTGCTTATTAATTTAGACACCATTGGTCTTGAAAACTAAAGTCTTTTTTAACATTTACAAAATCCTATTTTCATACTATCAGTCATAAATTTATCTTGGATAAATCGACAATGAAAACCTGTAGCACTAGACAACTGTATTGTTCTAGTATTAGACATCTCAGTGAAAGTACACAACCACAACTCTATCACAGAGAATCAAACTCAGGACCTTCTGTCTGGAATGAGACAGGTATTCACCATAGTTAGTTTTAAGATACTTAAACAATACGGTGAATTGATTGAATTTAGACATATGCACTACTGGATAACATCTCAGTGGTCTAGAGTTGAAGCCGTTCAACACAAAACTGACTGTCCTAAGTTCGATCCCTTGAGATTATGGGTTGTGGGTGTATATTCATTAGACAGTCCCGTATTAAGACTCTGATCAGGTTAATATTACACCATATTTTAATAAAATGAACATTCGACTGTATCCTCAATCTTCCTATGTTGATCTGGTGTTTAACGAAATCAATAATTCTAATCAATATTCTCAAACACCTATCCGTTATCCATATAGAATCACAGTTATTTATATGAATGGATTCATTCAGATATTCATCTGCTTTCTACTCTATTCAATCATCATCATCATCAACAACAACAACAACAAGAAACTTATTATGTAATCAATTCTTTTGGTAAATGTCTACTAAGCATGAAAAATGAAGATTGTAGGATTAAGTGAATTCATTTCATTTCGTGTAATTTGATTGTTTCATACGGTTGGTTGTTGTGTAGATACAAATATAGAAGGTTTTTAAAAAATATAATTTTCGTGAAAAAAGAAGAATTAATTATTATGTACTTTCCATATCACAAATACTCTGGTACAGTCGAGAGTAGGGAGAGTTAGCTTGTAAATCACCAACGTAGATTATCTATGTTGAAATGATTGGAGACCTACTCGAATTTGACGGAAACGGTGTGACAAACTAGCTAACGTCGAAGTCACACCTCGTGGTCAACACCTTATGTGGACTACCCCATTGAAGTATCAAGGTACCATAGATGCTTTGAAGACTGTACAACACAGAGGACGTTATTACAGAAATATATTAGTTAAAGTAGATACAAGCGAAAGTAGGACCACTGCCGCATGGGCCAGTCCATGGCATACGATCAACTAATGTGCGTTGGTTGTCCCTGACCTTGACGAGGATCGATGATTTGCTCGATATTCAATGATCTAACTGCCGGATGATTTGGCTAGGGTTTAGTGACATTTCGCTAGCCCTACAAGCTCAACTTCTACAAATGCTCTCACATGGCTACGTGCATACAGCCATCACTAGAGAAGTCCTACTACCTGTTTTTTCGTGGCATTACTGTTGTTTACGAAACTGAGAGGACCAAAAGCAAATGTTCGGCAGGACCCTAAACCGGGTTGGTGGATACGGAAGGTCGACCTAAAGGAGTTGGATAGCCCTCATTCCAAACCAATGGTGCACATTGGATCCAGGATCCTGAAGGAACATTTGGCGTATGAACCAATTGTTGGTCACTGGCTACCATGGGATTGCATCCATTGACGTTGCTTCGCTGCCTTATGGATCAGACCTTTAAGTCGATGGCTGGGGGTATGGCCTCCTAAGTAAACCACTTGCTTCGGTCTAGGTACTCGGGCAGTATCACAGCCCACACATGAATCAAGTGACTTGTATGGTGCATATGTAATTGGTACCCCTTTGTATCAATATTTATGTGTCCGTGAGTTAATCGAGTATATATAGCATGTACGAATGAAAATATGATTAAGATTGACATGTTTATTTGTAATTTGTGGTTATTAGAACTTGTCTCAGCATTTAGATAGAACATCTGACATGTTATCAGTTTACTTATCCAAGTACTTCTCTTAGCTTCTTCAGCAATTATTACCATTGTTATGACAAATTCAAGTTTGTTACGACTGATATCATTCTGTCTACCATATTTAGAAGATTTTGATGTAGGTGAAATAAAAGGAATTCAGTCTATCGCGCGTTGTATTCTGTGCTCGCATTGCTAAAGATCTACCATGAAACTTTATCAAATTCATAAATGGAGTCAGATAGGGGCTAGCAGTGGAATTCAAGACATGAATTTCGTCTTATTTTGAACTCGTCAGCTGGATGTATCAGCACAGTATTGTTGATCGTTTAACATCAAGATTTAACTACAGTACTCTCACTCTGAATATCATCACGTTATCCAGTTAGTTACTAAGTCCAGACAGTCACTAGTTTACACAAAGGTGTGGATTTCAATTCATTTGTAAAGGTTGTTTGAATCTTTAGATGATTTTGAATTTGAGTGTTGACAAGAACTTGAGTGAAAGGCATATTCATCGGATAAGTTCCAAATAGGACGTCTTGGGTATCAGTCTTAGCTACTGTTCAGTTTCATCTTAAGTTAGAATCTAATAGTTTGTGCCTGAAACCTTAGTTAGTTGACTAGTTTCTGTATGATAATCAATAAAATATTGATAACATTTTTTATCTGAAGATCATGTCAATCACTAAAATAGATCTGAACCAATTTCAATTAAAATATAAAAAAGAGGTAAGGCAGTCAAAGAAGGAAAACTTTATTGGTGGTCCACGAAATAATAGATCAGTTGATGCCGTAATAATGTTAAACTGAATAACAATTTTCAAACATGATTCTTTGATGTCACTGTCTTATGTCTAGATCTTCCTGAGCTTTCAGTGGATTTGGTTACTAGAATTATGTAGGCCATAATAAACTTTTTACAGGATTATTGTTGCTAAACCGGATAAAAGACGCAGTAGACGCCCAGGACTGATTCTGTGAGAATCGGTCGTGAACAGATCAAACCGCGACACTACGGACCATTGTTGAACAGTCAGTTGAATAGAACTCGTCACTATACATCAAGTTTATTGACTATGAGAAGGCGTTTGACAGTGTGGACAGGAGGACATTATGGGAACTTCTCCAACACTGACACCTGACCGTAAAAATTGTCCGGAACTCATACGATGGACTACAGTGCAAAGTCGTGCATGGAGGGCAGTTGAATGATGCATTCCAAGTAAGGTCAGGTGTCAGAAAAGGCTGCTTACTCCCCTTCTTTCTCTTTCTTCTGGTGGTTGACTGCTTTATGAAGACCTTCTTATCTGACGAGATGCCTAAAATAAAGTGAACAGATTGGATGCAACCTGATAATTTGAAATTTACAGATGATCTGGCCTTTCTATCCCATACACACCAACAAATGCAGATGAAGACAACTAGTGTAGCAACAACTTCTGCATTGGTTGGCCTTAACATACACAAAAGAAAAGGTAAGATCCTCAAATACAACAAGGAGAACACTAACTCAATCATACTTGATGGAGAAGCTCTGGAGGATGTGGAATATCACACATACTTATGATGTATCACCGATGAACAAGGAGGATTAGATGCAGACGTAAAGGTGAGGATTGGCAAAAGGACGGCCGCATTCCTATGGTTGATGAACATATGGAACTCAACCAATATCAAAAACACAATCTTCAATACAAATTTCATGACAGTTAATTCTACTGTACCGAGATGAAAATTTGAGGACCACGACAACCATCATCAAAAAGGTACAAGTATTTATAAACATTTGTCTACATAAGATACTCAGTGTCCGTTGACCGGAAACCATCAGCAACAGTCTACTGCGAGAAATGACAAACTAGCTTTCAATTGAAGAGGAAATTAGGAAAAGACGTTGAAATTGGATAGGACACACATTACGGAAATCACCAAACTACATCAGGAAGCATGCATTATTTTAGAATCCTGAAAGGAAACGGAAACAAGAGAGTTCGAGTCCTGAGTTGAACATCAACTTCGGAATGTAGATACACACAGCTGACAGATTCCAAATAAGATGAAACATGAATGCTATATCCCACTGCAAGCTACCATCCATCTTTTCTTAGATATTTTTTTTAGTTAGACAAATACTACAATGAATATCCACAACTATATTCAAGATTGGTCCCAGACACTTCATTTACTATAGTAAATGAATAATTTAAAAGGTTTGAATAATTTTTTCTGGTTAGCGTCTTTTTAGCGAGTTAGTTTTCTATGGGACGGGGTCGCTAACCCCATGCCCAACCCTCCTCCTTTATCCGGGCTTGGAACCGGTAGTAGCCCCCGGAGGGACTCCAGGCGGAGTTATTTACCATAGTAACTATGATAT